CTGGGGAAAAAAAGCGTACAGAAATACCTAATTCCCGCAGATTTTTTGTTTACAAACTGACACCAAAATGTTACTATTTCAAGAATAAATCCAAATAAAGTTGCTATTTTTTGTATGAGATACACTGAAGGGAAAATATATTCAAACCAGATTTCTAATTATGAATCATCACAAGCAAAACACACAATGTTTTACTGTATTCGATAAGTTAAACCGTGTAAAAAAAAAATTAGCAGGCTACTCAGTGAATAAGATTTGTTAGATGATTTGTTTGATCACGTGATAATCAATAAAAACAAAAAATGGATAAAAATGTATATACCATCATAATACTGCTGAGCACACATTATAAGACAAAATGTTTTAAATTTACATTGTTTATTGAAAATCAAACGAAAACTACTGCACTGTATAACTTACTACCTCATAATATACCTACATTGTTCAGTATAATTTCCCTTTGAAATAAATGAAGGTCTTATTTGATGGCATAATGATTTAGTAATAATGTGCTTGTGCCATACATCTTGTCCATACGAAATTTGTAAAGCTTCAGTAAATTATCAATTTTTTATGGCTGTGTTATAAGGCTTTCACTGATTTGCGGAATTAAATTCTAACGCTACGGTTTTGAACCAAAACTAAATCTTTAAATTCACCTGAAAACTCGGTAACGATTTGAAAAAAATATATTTTGTGTCGTTATTTATCATGTCAAACCCTAACTTTCAAATTGAGTGCAAGACCACGGTTCCAAAATCGGCCTGACCTATTATATATGCATACATAAAGAAATGTATTTTAAATAACCTAATAAAACAATGTCCGGGATTTTTTGAACGTTTTTTTTTCTTTTTTAAAAAAAAAAGATTTTAATCCTCGATCACATTTTTTGTTGCTGTAATGGATAGTGGCTCGGAATGAGAAATCGGAGGGCCGAGTTCAAATCTCTGTTGAATTTGTTACATTCAATTGCCCGCAAATAATTTTGGGAAAGGTATAAATCCATTTTCCCCTCCTCCCTGTTATGTATGGGTTAAATAGTAGCAATGGCATCTGAAAAAATTTTTTCTCACAGTCAAAAAAATTGTCTCAGCTTTAAATATCCCAGGAAGGGGCGATAAACCGTAAATAAACAATCCAATCAATCATTCGCAATGAGAAATCGGAGAGCAGAGTTTGAATTCCAGTGGCGTCCGTTACTTGGAAAATTTAGGAATCCATCTTTTCTCCTCCAGCTATGGATTAAAGAGAAAGGCAGAGAGGGCGCTCTGGTCGTGATTAGCAAACAGTCTAGAAGAAGGATACCTTTAAATTCAAAACCGTAACCATAGATTTAACAATGTCAACTCATCGACAAAACATCATTTATGTATAGATCTTAACCAGAAAGTCAGATAGATTTACAAACCTGATACATAGCTAAGAATTCTCATCACAGGGTGCAACACCTTGATCATTCTCAGCTCCGCCCTCCTTGCGTCATTGATGTCTCAGTTGAACCTCCGACCAGATTTGATATCATGTCAAATATCAACAAACAATGATTCGTCGGCCCTTTCGCTCAAATTTATAACATCATTGGTCAGAAACTATTGTTCACTGCCGGTTTTACCTAATACCGTAACACCTGAATGTTATTTTTTTTTTTTTTTTGTAATCCAATTATTACTTTATCCTTGAGCTCAGATCATTTGTACACTGATCCTCCCAAGTTATTCCTAGCGGCACATTCGATGACAGGTGGAGGTTATCATCAGGGTAGGGAGTAAAGCTCAGATTAGGTCTTTGCGAAATGGATATTTTACTCGGTATTGTGTCACAGACTTTGTAAGTATCATGAATTAATGATGTGGTCTTTGATGCGTGAAAGCATTTTGACTCAGTCATTCATTCATTGTTAATCCATAGCGCATATTCAAAGACCAAGCATATAAATCTTTTCTTCTCGTCCGACACAAGGCTAAAACTGTGGAGCATATAGTGCGTATCTGACAGAGTTTACCTTTATTTATATAAGGGCGTGTCAAAAGTATGTTCGTTTTTGTCTTGTTTTTTACAGACCTTTAAACCAAAGCTTATTTCATTTGCATATCTAAATATCATCACTATATATATATATATATATATATATATATATATATATATATATATATATATTAACTAAAATACGAAGGAACTTTGGATTACTTACCTAACCAGTTCCTTCCTATTTTCTATATATTTACATACACACACACACACACACACACACACACACACATATATATATATATATGAAGAAATATATATTTTAAGATGTGCTATATTTATGGGATAGAGTACTAAATATCTGGGATAGAGCGTGTGTAAATATAAATATAAAAGTGAAGGTGACAGGCTGTTTCCATACTGATGCATTGCGTCCAGCATGAAACAGTCTGTCGCCTCTCAGTGTTGACTTGGTCTTCACTTTTTATATATATATATATATATATATATATATATACAAAGAGAGAGAGAGAGAACATCCATCTTTTAAAGAACAATGGCACAATTTCGAAAAGGAAGATGAAGTCACTAGAAACAAAATATCTATACTGTTTAGTATTATTTGCACACACAGGTACACACAAACACACACACACACACACACACACACACACACACACACATATATATATATATATATATATATATATATATATATATATATATATATATATACTAAAGCTGTAAATACTCATACTAACATCGAGTGAGTGCCCTGGATAGAAATAACCGGAGACATTATTGCCACAGGAAAAAAAAAAAAACGTAAAAGAGACGAAAGACAACGGTGAAAATCGCCAGTAAATATTCCTGTTGCTATGTCACGAGATCCTCACTGTTGCACAATATGTGGACTTGTATGGAGGCCACTAGCGGGAATGAAGTGTCACATACGAGGCAAGCATAAAACCTGAATGAGGTTGTCAGATCCTCATACCTCGGAATCGATGGGAGAGTCCACCATCACTATATTGTTATATACCGTACCTATGAACGATAATGAGTATGTCCCAATCCTCATAAATACGCTGGAACACAATATGCTGCCTAAGCTCTTGCCGTATCGAACTCTTTGCCATGGGCAGAGAGGATCCCGGACGAGCCTACGCCGAAGGGCTGAGTCTTGTCCGAGGAGGTAGACATATACCCGAGCCCGCGTATGCGGGATCTACGGGCAATTTTTCCCCACATTAGATTTGGCCTTGTGCCGCATCCTACCTCGTGGGGAGGCAGGTAAATATCGTAATATGCTGTCTAAGGTTTACCTACTTCACGCCGCTGGCTAGTATTGTATTTTGTTGATGTTATAAAGATTACCATTTCATTTGCAATCTCCGTTTTGGTTATTCCTCATTCAGTAGCCCTTCCTAGGTTACAACACACACACACACACACACACACACACACACACACACACACATATATATATATATATATATATATATATATATATATATATATATATTAAGTATTTAGGCAGCAATTCCTCTCTTATACATGTTTCGTTCAAGACAACTGTTCAAATATCCCTTAAGGAACTGTGTTCCTAATCAAACCAAACATAAATAATTACATCGTTCACACTACTACATGCCTATCCAGACCCCTTACATTACATCTATCCGACCACATCTGTATTAGAACTCATTTAAACACACACAAAAACCTACTGCGAAACATAATAGTAGAAAATACAAACATAATTACCACACCCACATGTAAAAAAAAAAAAAAAAACAGATTAAAAATAATCGAAAACTTAATGAAAAAAAGAAAAAGAAAAAGCCAACATTCAATAACATTAACTATGAATACGGCCACAATGTGCTGACCATGTTTGGAAAATAAAACATCCCTACAACTCTAGATACGTACAAAATAAAAACCCATACATTCAGTTAAAAGTAAAAATAAAATCTTCCTTGATAATAGCTGAAAGTATAGCCGGAAGCGCTCGGAAATGCAAAATTTTCGGAGAGTTTTCACATATTTTGGGGTGTCCAGAAAAGAAATGACTTGCACAAACACAAGAGAAATTAAATAAAAAGCTTAATTGCCTTTTTAAGCGCGGATATATACATATATCTATATATACATTATAATTAAGTAATTCATCGAGTCTTGAAGAAAGCTCAACAGAATGCACTGGACGGCCGTTTCGTCCTATGTTTGGGACTCTGTTCCGAATATACCAACTGTTCCGACGGGCCTCGGAGACGAAAAGGTAGCGAATCAGACTTAATTAGACTTATCTCAAATCCTCCTAATTTCTATCACTTGTATATCTTTGCTTGAACTGGCTTCTAACGCTCTGGATGGTGCGGCTTTGGAATAGTAGTCGTGGCTCGTGGGACACAGTCCTGTGGGTAAAAGAGAAACACGGAATATGTGATCGAGCAGCGCTATATCGATTCTGTTTTGCTACCTCTTCGTCACCGTTGGAACAGTTGCTATGATGTTTGCCTGATAATGTACCTGTCCGGGTTTCAATTCTCGGTAGTGGATGCGCACTGCTGATGTAGTCCCAAATATAGGACGAAACGGCCGTCCAGTGCTTTCTGCATTCAGTTTCTTCTCGACTCGATGGATTACTTCTAATTTCTATCACATATATATATATATATATATATATATATATATATATATATATATATATATATATATGTGGGTGCTATAAAGTTTTAAGAAAAATGGGAACAAAAAGAACACTTGTACTTAAAATCAGAACGAGTTTGAATTTCTGGACCGTATAATGAGGAAAGAGAGTTTGGAGATTTTGACACTCACGGGGTATTGGATGCAAGTGCGGCATCTCGTAACTTAACGAGCTCGGGTAAATGAGTGGCAGAAGAGACTGGGAGGAATGGTAAGTGGACCAACAATGATCAGAAGATAGAAGGCTGTATGCGGCCATGATCACCAACGCCCTGAAAGGACACGGCATATAAAATCTGAAGTTTCAGTCTTACCTCGTCCTTTATCAGTGCCGGCTGGTAGTCTGTCGGCCGGTAAAAGTGTTTTCGCACCGTATTGTCCAGATGTATTGCTCCGGTGAAGAGTTCCGAATTCTCCATGATTCGATAACCATGAAAGATGGTGCGTTTTTCGAGTTTAATCAACTGGAACTCGTTCATCGTCCAACCGAAACGGTCGGTACAGTCTTTAATGGCATGGGACGCTGTTTTCAGAATACCGTACTGGTGAAAAGGTTTCCAATGGAGTTTTCCCAGATAAGGACATGACTGGATTGCTCGTCGCCGAAGGTCCCAGGCAGCATCGGAGCTATAAGGAAGGACACGTACGCTGTTTAAGTGGTACCGAGTATCAGTGCCCCCTTGCACCAACATTGACCATCTTTGGGCCTTCAGACGACCTTTGGCCATTATGACGTACAACGGGGTTGAACATTCTGAGTCTTTGTAGTAGAATTGTTCCACGGAGAAGTTATTTCTCTGGAAACGGTACTTACGGATGACGAACTCAGGACCCGGAAGGACTTCACATCTGGAATGAACAAGAGGAAAAAAATTAAAAAGTCAAAATTAAATTTAAGAAAATAGTAAAAATAAAAATTAATTAGAAATATTTGGGTTGATGAAAGTTCCTAACAGTCTAAAACTTATTTCATGTACACGTCAAAAGACTGGCTATGACTCAACTAGATTATTATTATTATTTTTATTTTCTTTGATTTCTGGCGTTTACACATTTCTTTCTGGGCCCCGCCCAGAGACCTAAGGTTAGAGATGGCATCATGACACTTTCCACTGACAAAAAAAAAATTACATATATAAAGCCGTTCATAAAGTGTGGGCTGTACTTGTGAGAACAATTTTTTGTATCTCCTTGAGGCATGGACTTCCAGGAATCCCCTCAATTAGTCTACTGGAAGCTTTTCCAACCAATCCTAAGACTCTAACTACAAAAGGGATTGTTGATGTTCCCATTATTATTATTATTATCATTATTATTATTATTATTATTATTATTATTATTTTCTTTGATTTCTGGCGTTTACACATTTCTTTCCGGGTCCCGCCCAGGGACCTAAGGTTAGAAATAGCATCATGACACTTTCCACTGACAAAAAAAAAAAAAATTACATCGATAAAGCCCTTCGTAAAATGTGGGCTTTACTTGTCAGAACAATGTTTTGTATCTCCTTGAGGCATGGACTTCCAGGAATCCCTTCAATTAGTCTATTATTATTATTATTGTTGTTGTTGTTGTTGTTATTATTATTATTGTATATTATGGTTCCTGCTTTGTATCCTGTAGAACCGAGTCCAAACTCTGGTCCCCAGGCCCTATAGGGGAGTTGTCATTTAATTGATAGCACTTTTCTTTGTATATGGGATGTTCCTAGTAGGGCGATCATCTGGGCAAGTTCTATGTTGATGTTTCCTGGGACACTGTAAATAAAATTCTCCATTCTTTTACTCACGAGGCCCACAGCTCCGATTACTATTGACACAATCTGTCTTCATTCCCCACATCCTGTTAATCTTGATCTCAAGGTCCTTGTATTTGGACAATTTAATGTTTTTCGGATTTCCTGATGATGTCATTTAATTGTAATGGTAATCTGTTTAATTAATTTAATTGTAATTTGTTTAATAAATTTAATTTAATTGTAATGGCCATCTATAGGAGAATTGTCATTTAATTGATAGTATTTTTCTTAGTATATGGGATTTTTCTAGTAGGGTGATCTTTTGGGCAACTTGTATGTTGATCTTACCCGGGACACTGTTAGTAAAATTGTCCATTCCTTTTTTTACGAGGCCCAGAGCTCCGATTGCTATTGGTATAATCTCAATCTTCATTTCCCACATCCTGCTAATCCCGATGTCCAGGTCCTTGTATTTGGACAATTTGATGTTTTCAGGGGTTCTTTCGAGTTCTGTGTCAGGTATTCGTTTTTTTTTTATCTGATGATGTCACATCTGATATTAGCTAGCATGTTGGCATCGATGTTTAGTCGGGTTGAGGGTTTTTTTTCGACAAATATTATAGGCTCGTGATTTATCGTAGCAGTGTAAAATGCTATCATTACTTTAATATGCTCTTCCCTAAACCATTTATTTATTATTATCATTATTATTATTATTATTATTATTATTATTATTATTATTATTATTTTCGTTGATTTCTAGCGTATACTATTTTCTTTCCGGATCCCAACCAGAGACCAATTGTCAGAGATGGCATCATTATATTTTCCCTTGAGCATTTTTTGAGAAAAAAAAAAAAAAAAAGCAAAAAAACAAGATCACACATATTTTACATAGATAAAGCCCTTTGTAATGTGTGGACTGTGTCTGTGAGTTCAGTTGTGTATTCCTTTAAGGCTTGGCCTATCAGAAATCCCTTCAATGAGTCTATCTGAACCTTTTCCAGTCGATCCGAGGGCTCCAACTACAACTGGAATTGTTGATGTCCTCATGTGCCGCATTATTTAGATTTCGATTAAAAGGTCCTTTAATTTTGGTAATTTTTTTTTTTTTTTTTTTTTATTTTTTTTTTTTTAAGATTTTCAAGATACATTAGAATCTTCAGGGTGTTGCCATGGAAATAAGGAGGCCCATTTTGTTTTTGCGGTTTTGTAATCACGATGTCTGGGAGATTAGCTTTGATTTTTCTGTCTCTGGGTATTGTAAAATCCTATAAAATTGTCAGAGGTCCTATCTCAGTACCCAGGTCTGTGATTATTATTATTATTATTATTATTATTATTATTAATATTATTATTATTATTATTTTTATTATTATAGTTACCGTGTGGTATTGATTGTTATATCTACATTGTCCATATCTCAATTTCCATATTGTATATACAAAATATATTTTAAATGTATTATATATATTTTTAGATATTACTACAATTTATTGAGTACTGAATAAATACATTATAAATACCATATCCATTGATGACATAAGCATTCATGGTTCTCCACAATATGTATGAATTGTCATGTTTACTTAGGAAAGTTAGTAGTTTATATTGCCTTCTCTGGGATTGTAGAGAAACCGGTCTGCATCGTTGAGAGTTGAAGCGATGGATTCATGCCTTTCCAAAAAGGCTGTAATGAGTAAATAAACGCAACAGACTAGGCTGAAACTTGAACTCAGCACGCCCAGTCCACTTTCCGCTTCGATAACGATATTCGTCTTGTAGTCATCTTCATTATTACAGCTGACAGTTTAGTAAATATTTACGAGAGTAAATCAGAAAGTACTAGCAATTTTTAAAATTGCGCAGTAAAAACAACTGAAAGACCTGCGCATGGAAGCACGGGGTAGCTAGCTGCGCGCATTATTTCATCGTTCAGTCGTATGGATGAGAGCAACGAGGTCAGACGTATGGACGTTGCACTCAACGATTTCACACCATCAAGGGACAACGCGTCGTAGTGAGCTTTCAGAGGGAATCAAATCAGCGGAAATCGATCATGGGATGTTGGTGCAGTATGAAGCATACACCATGAATCAACGAAAGGTGCATGATTGGGTAGAACACCTTAAAGCGGGATAAACACGTGTAAGGGGCGAAAGCCAATCTGGCCGCCCATCAACATCGCACACGGAAAATAAACAAATCCAGAGGCTGGATGCTTTGATCAGGGAAGGCTGGCGAATCCTGTTAGCACAAGTGGTGCCAATCGTGAGCATCAGTTATGGATCTGTACAAAACATGGTGTGCATGGTGCCTGGCGACTTGGGCTACCGTAAAACTTGTGCGAATTGGGTGCCGAAACAAGCAACGGGTGTAAACGTGGCTTCGGGGTCAACCGAAAAGCTTCTGTTCAGAAGGGATAAAGAAGCTCGTTGAACGATACCAGAGACTATTTTGAAAAGTGACATATGAATCTTTCCATCAGTGGAAATAAAGGTGTTATTTGGAAATTACCTGTACTTTTATTTTATAGACAGTTGTATAAGTCTACTCCTCTATGTATATCGTATACTTAAGGCCTAGCGCAGAGAGAGAGAGAAAATAGAAAAAATAGAGAGACAGAGAAAGATAGAAAGAGAAAGAAAGTGAGAAAGAAAGAGAGAAAGAAAATAGAAAAAGAGAGGGGCAGAGAGAGAGAGCTAGAAAGAAAGAAAGAAAGAAAGAAAGAAAGAAAGAGAGAAAATAGAAAAAGAGAGATGCAGAGAAAGAGAGAAAGATAAAGAAAGAAAGAAAGAAAGAAAAGAAAGAAAAAGAAAGAAAGAAAGAAAAGAAAGAAAAAGAAAGAAAAAAAAAAAAGAGAAAGTGAGAAAAGAGAAAGAGGAATGAAAAGAAAAGAAAGAAAGAAAGAAAGAAAGAAAGAAAAAAGAAAAAGAAAGAAAGAAAGAAAGAAAGAAAGAGAGGGAGAAAATAGAAAAAGAAAGAGGCAGAGAAAGATAGAAAGTGAAAGAAAGAAAAAGACAGAAAGAAAAAGAGAGAAAATAGAAAAAGAGAGATGCAGAGAAAGAGAGAAAGATAGATAAAGAAAGAAAGAAACAAAGAAAGAGTGGGAGAAAATAGAAAAAGAAGGAGAAAGAAAGAAAGAAAGAAAGAAAGAAAGAAAGAAAGAAAGGGAGAGAGAGAAAGAGAAAGAAAGAGGGAAAGGAAATTAGAGAAAAAGACAGAGAGAGAAATTAATTTTGAAACCATTATAACGAGATGGGGAGAAATCAATAGTTAACATCAATTCTCATCTCCTGTCGCCTTGAGACCTGTTCCTTTTATTTCCCTTTCTCTTCAGTAACTTTTTTTTCTCAATTTCCTTCACTCACTCTCAAAAAACCCTTGAATCTTAGTGGCTTTATCGTCTTCCTTGGGATTATTTTTTTTTAATTCCCCTACGCAGGTTACAAAGAATTACAACAAATGACAATATAGGGGAGGAAAATCCTTAAGATGGCTAAGTTTCATTTATCGCAAATAACTTCTTGTTCAATAAAACATTATTATGCACAAAGAGAGCGGAAACGACGATAAACCTTACCGTCGAAGCATTTTGCCGTTCTCGTCATAAAATACCATTTCATGTCACTTGATACAGAAACGCAAGGGAGGGGAAACACTCCCTTCTTCGTGCCAATGGCAAAATGAGTCAAAGGTCTCGTAAATAAAGAAGTAAATTATATTCTGGCAAATGTAGTTTACGATGAAATTTAACATAAGCAAATCGGTATAAGATACAAAAAAAAATGACGAATAAAAAACAATGTTTTAATGCCATGTCACTTCAGTATATAAAAGATCATAGCACCCAACAGATTCGCTTTCTTTATTATCTATGTATTACGATGATTGCTTTCTCCATGGCTTTTAATTCCCAGTCATCGTTCTACTAAGCTAGCTGCCACCTAAGGCAAGCCAACCAAGTCTACATTAACTGTTTAACCCGTAGCCTTTCCTCCCGGGGCATTTGTGTGAAAATGAACGTAGGCCGTAATTTGAACTTCCATTTACCGCAACCTCGGCCCCAGCACCACAAAAAAACCCTTACGCTACATGTACATTCGAATTAAATAGACTGAAGACTGAAAGAACTATTATAGGGATTTTCTAAGTGAAGCTTGAACGTCGCACAAGGCCAAAAATATGGTGCACCCAGTGAGGATCTCAATCACTAATCAGTCGTAACTGAAAAACTAACTTACATTATTCGGACTATCGTCCTCATCTTTGTTGCCATATTTATCACGTTTCGACCGATGTACGCTCCGGCCTTCTTCAGGTGGTTGGAATGTCGAACTGAACCCTTTATTTCGATCGCTGGGTTGACTGTTCTTGTTCCACGTGCCATGTCTAATGGATCTCAGTTATCAATTATCTCTTGTTAATTCCCCTTTCCAAGTTCTCTACTACCTAAACCAGGACACATGGCACAGTGGATAAGGGCGTTAGATCCAGTGACAGGACCCAAATAGTTGTGAGTTCAATAGCTAGTTAAGGCAGTGGAGAACTTCGAGAGGGGAATTAACAGGAGATAACTGATAACTGACATCCATTAGACATGGCACGTGGAACTAGAACAGTCTACCCCAGCGAGCGAAATAAAGGGTTCAGTTCGACATTCCAACCACCTGAAGAAGGCCGGAACGTCCATCGGCAGAAACTAGCTATTCAGATAGATAGATAGATAGATACGAATACAATAGATTATTAGAGTATAGTATAAGATAAATAGATATGAATAGTATAGATTAAGATAATGACCTGAATAAGATAGATGGTATTTATCAATCCACCCACGGGGATCGAATGTGGCACAAGGCCTTTTTAATGTGGGTATCTCTGAGCCCGTAGGCCCAGCCAAAAATAAATAACCATCCAAACCCGCCGAGGCGGGCCAGTTCCGTCAACCTCCCCCAACGAAACCCTACCCTTCGGCGGAGCTTCGTCCGGGTTTCTCTCTGCAAGCAGAGAGTTTGACGACACTGACCCGGCAACTCACAAAAGCGCAGATACTACACTTTGATCCTAGCCACCGGGCCGATAGCGGGTATTGTTATAGATAGATAGATAGATAGATAGATAGATAGATAGATAGATAGATATGAATACAATAGGTTATTATAGTATAGTATAAAATAAATAGATATGAATAGTATAGAAGATAATGACCTGAATAAGATAGATAGATAGATAGATAGATAGATAGATAGATAGATAGATATGAATACAATAGATTATTATAGTTTATTATAAGATAGATAGATAAATATGAATACTATAGAATAAGATAATGACCTGAATAAGATAGATAGATAGATAGATAGATAGATAGATAGATAGATAGATAGATTATTATAGTTTATTATAAGATAGAAAATACGAATAAATGACAATAGATAGATAGATTATAATATAGATAGAATACATAGTATGAGATAGATAGATAGATAGATAGATAGATAGATAGATAGATAGATAGATAGATATGAATACAATATAATATTATAGTATAGTATGAGATTGTGTTTGTGTACCCCACCCCTCAGTAGAGAAGGGTCTTTCGGGAGTTGGTTGTTACACGTCAAAGAAAATTGACGGGTGAAATTTTCGTGTTTGGTCACGGCTCCCTAATAGGGAGGTGTAGTAATGCCCACTTGAGAAGATGTACTCGCCAACGTGGTTAATAAAATAATAGTTAAGTTAAAAGTTCTCTTTATTGATGCTTTTCGTCTCTGAAGTCAAAGAAGATTTCGCGACACCGACCAAGAGAAGAAGAGGACTGAACGAAAACGACCAGCGATCACCAGCCAAAGGAGATGAGAACACCCCCACCAATGAAGGGTATACAACACCACGTCACATGACTGATAGATAGATAGATAATAAAATAATAGAGCAAAGATAGAATAAGATAGAGAGATAGATAATTGAATAAGATAAAAAGATAGATAATGACGACAATCTAATAATATATCATAGCACAGATAGATAGATAGATAGATAGATAGATAGATAGATAGATAGATAATGCCGACAATCTAATAATATATCATAGTATAGCATGACATAGATAGATAGATAGATAGATAGATAGATAGATAGATAGATAGATAATGTCGACAATCTAATGATATATCATAGCATAGCATAGCATAGCATAGATAGATAGATAGATAGATAGATAGATAATGACGACAATCTAATAATATATCATAGCTAGCATAGCATAGATAGATAGATAGATAGATAGATAGATAGATAGATAGATAGATAGATAATGACGACAATCTAATAATATATCATAGCATAGCATAGATAGATAGATAGATAATGACGACAATCTAATAATATACCATAGTATAGCATGGCATAGATAGATAGATAGATAGATAGATAGATAGATAGATAATGACGACAATCTAATAATATAGCATAGATAGATAGATAGATAGATGTGAATATAACATTATAGTATAGCATAGATTGTTATTAGAATAGTATAGTACATTATAAGTTTAAAAGTGGAAAAGTGAATAATTGAATTTGAGTTGTGTTGATTACGATAAAGATTTGCAATAGTTGATCTAATTGTAATCAAGAAACAAGACTTTCGCATACGGTTTACTCGTCCAGTTTCTTTTGTTTTTTTTATTTGAGAACAAATTGGCAAATTCATTAAAAACGATGCGTTCATAGGTGTTTATTTTTGCACTTAATAATGGCATATTTCTCGTTATCAAAAAGTTTTTAACATATTGAAAAAAAATAAGGCTGCGTTACTCGGTTACCAAAGGCACAAACATTTTTGAGAAGGAAGGAAGGAAGGAAGGAAGGAAGGAAGGAAGGAAGGAAGGAAGGAAATATATATAAAGAAAATAGATAAAGATAGCAAGACGGGCTGAAAGAAAGAAAGAGTCTTGGAAAAGAAGAAAAAAAGAAAGCAAGTGTGGCTTATAAAGAAATACACAGAAAGAAAAATAAAGCAACATTCTTATAAAACTGAAAGAAAATAGAGGGAATATAATTAAAAAAAATAAAGAAAAGTAAGAAAGAATAGTATGTAAGGAAATTACATGAAACGAAAAAAAAAAAAGAACATAAACAACCAAAAGAAAGATAGTGAAAGAAAGAAAATTTACAAAAAAAAAACATTAAAAAAAACTAAAAAATATTAAAAAAAAACAAGCAAGAGTTTAAAAAAATGAGAACGGTAAAAAGCAAAGGAAATAAAAGCCGAAAACATCTTCCATGTCAGTCTAAAAATGCCTACTTAGACTCACTGACAGCTTTCTACAAATAAAATGGCGATGTTGAGATTGCGATAAAAATCGACGAAGAGAAATTGCTTAACTACATTCCATTGTTTGGTTGACAACACGGAAAGAACGTCGAGAATCACATGCATTCGTTCTTCCCCACCTCTTGTTTTTCTTTTTCGCCATCTTGAATTTTTTTTTCTGTTCAAGACAAGTAGTATATAGGTTGTAGTACAACCACCAATCTAATTCCCATCGCTTGTCGGTGTATTTTGCAGGTACAGCAAAAGGGTGACTCAAATGACAGTAATCCGTTTTTGTATTTCACAAACTCTGCCAAAGCAACAGGCGGTGTGACTATATAGTTCCAGGAACGACCACAGCGTGTCGCTGAGAGAATGTGCCAAGCAAATATTTCTAGAAAAGCTTCATGATTATTTCTTCCAAGGATATTTACACGCAGTGAACACAAGACCAGAACTTTATCTACAAATTCCTCTTTGTTGAGACTCAGGCTTGATGGGCTATTTATTACCGAGCAGTAGATGAAGTTGCATGTGTTCATGCGATAGTGTTGACAGAAAAATGAACGAAAGGAATCTAGAGCGCGGATCAACATCAAATTATGTATGAAGATTGGTAAATTTGCTAGTGAAACGATATCCCTATTATAATCGTGTTTTCATAGTGGATGAGGTAGTTCAAGGAAGCGCAAGAGGAAGTGCAGGATGATGTAAGAAGTGGCTAACCAAGAACAACAAGGACAGATCCAAATGTTTATTTTGAAGTGCTAAAAGCGTGATGAGAATCTGTTCAGCATAAAAGACCCGAACTCCGGAATAATACGTAGATTCACCGCTATGAAAATTCTCCAACGTATGATGCCTTAAGAGTGTAATTCTTGCTCGAAAATCCATAGCAAAAATGGGACATCCACCTACTCAGCAAACT